CACAAATGCAGCCTGACTTTAACACACTCGATTACATTTTCCCCTTCTCAGCATTAACTCCAGGGAGTCCTTAGCCATTCCAGGGTTACCAACTCCCCACAAAAATCCATGTTTCCAAATGTCAGAACGATAGCGATTGTACCTTATGTTATGACCATACTCCAAGGCTTCGCAAAACTATACTCCGTTGAGTGTATAATTACACTGAAAGGAAAGTTAATTTTCTTCAAGCCTAGCACTGATCTGCTTCTATTTTTTACAAGAAAACTTCCTTGGTTTATTTTCTTAGTTTCTTTTGCACAAGACAAGCAGCTGAGAAAATTTCCTATTCTAGTTTGTCAGACAAGCTAGACAGCTTCTGTTTACTTTCAGGGGCTATTTTGGTTAGTTATCTCTTTAAAGTGCCTTCGAGAAATGCAACTTGGAGCTTGTTCTCTCAGGAAACCTTGGGCAGAGAGAATGGAGGCACAGTGGTCCAAGTCCTGACCTCCGCAGCTCTGGTTAGGAACAGGGAATTCCAGTTATAATCAAGATTGCCTTCAAACCCGACTGGAAATGTCACTATGTCCTCCCCCCATCAGATGTAGGGCTTCACTAGCCACTAGGATTAGCGTGGTTGCCCCAACGACCGCTTTGTAAGGATTCTTGCCCCACTGGATGCCTGACTCGCGTGGCCACAACGCAAACTGGTAGGTTCCCAAGTGATTAGGAACCATCTTCTTTCTGCCTTCCTTTTCTATTTCTCATTAGGATGTTTATCTGACAATATGAGAGGATTACAAATGTTTGTGGGCTCCTTCTGTGGCAGCTGGAACTTTTTTATTAGAAGAGAGGGAAAGGACAAGGGGACATGAAGCTGACATTTATGAGGTCCTACTATGTACTGCTGTCTCATTGTAGTCCTCATAGTAAGCCTACAATATAGATGAGGTTTTTCATGGTTAGAGTTCTAGAAATGGGGGCTCAGATTGGAATCCTATCTAATCGCTATGTTGCTCTGAGCCTTGGATTCCTCCTTCCTTCCTTCCTGGTTGCTGCTATAATTGAGTAAGACAGTGTGTGGAACCACCTAGCCGAGTGCTGGACAGCTGTCACGAACTGTGAAGGTCTGTTTGCAAGCTGAAAGGCCAGCCTGCCAGTATACTGGATGCTCCAAGAAGACTCGAGACTCCTGGATCAGAGTCAAAGACTTTATTACTCATGGCACACAGGCAGCATGAGCTTCACGTCTGCATTGGTTCCCCTTTCCCTCAAAGTCCCACGGGAGTGACACAGAGTGGCCCAGATGGATTTGCGTCACAGTAGAGAAACTCCCAGATTAGGGAACTCAAGTCTGTATCGACCAATGTTGGACAATAAATAAACCTGCCCTCGGCTCTTAGGAAACCTGAATCTTTTCTAATGGGTTGCGAGCAAACCTGCCCTCTTTCCCGCTGGGAGATACTCTCTCTATCTTCCCAGGCGGTTTGCTACACAAACATCCTTGACAAGCTGTCCAAATCCAGGGCTGTCAGTGGCTTTGCTAGCAAAATGTGCAGCAACGCAAGAGGCTTGCAAGAGAATTGTTTCCCCAAACATCTATTTATTCAATAGATATTTATTGTGTTTTTACTATATACTCTATGTTACATTAGGTCCTGGGGATTCTTCAGGGGACAGGACGCTCATGGTCCCTGCCCTCCTGGAGTGTTGGTCATGACACAACATTCTGAATGATGATTTAGAATCCATGCCCTGACATCAAAGTGCTTATCGGAATAGTGGGACAGAATATTTGAAATTGGGACTTGATGGGAAATGCCAGTACATAGTCCCTATACACACAGTAGGTAGCTAATAAATGTGTGAGTGTATATTGGCCGGCAGATTTGGTTCTTAATTAATTTTAGATGGAAAAGCCTCATAATCTATGGAGATATTTAGGTAAACTCATTTTTAGATCACGTCTCAGTAGGGCAGAAAGAAACCATACAGGTCTGGAACTAGACAGACTGGGTGGGCACCTCGGTTCTGCTTTTCCCTGCTGGCATGGCCTTGGCCGTAGCATTGGATGTCTCCAAATGTCTTTGTATTCAGAGCACCTTTCCCTTCACGGCAGGACCAAGAAGTGCCAGTTGCTATGTGTTGTGTGCATTCAACAGCCCGCATTCTTGCCTTCCAATGAGCAGATTCTAACTCAGGGTCAGAGGCCTCTTAACCCTGAAGGGTCTGTTTTCAGACAGGTGTACAGCGGGAAGTCAGGGTGAAGAGGCTGAGGAGAGAGAAACCAAAGAGGAAGATGGAAGAGCTCAGGGATAGCCCCAGGGCTGGTTGCTAGAGGCCCTAGAAGTTGCCCAGGAAGCCACACATGTCCATTTTGAAAGCATCCCAAGCATAAATATGATCCTTAAAATAGATTCTGTGGAACCTATTCAGATCAGTCACTTTGACTCAAGGAGCAGAATAACAGGCAGGGGTTAAGAGTGTGGTCTCCAGTAGAAAATACCCAAGTTTGACTTCCAGCTCTAACAGTAAGCAACTGTGTGACCCTGGATGAGGGACTTAGCCTCTCAGAGTGTTTTCTCAACTGTAAAATGGAGATGATAACAATGCCTCAAAGGTATGGTGTGAGGGAGACAAGGGCATCCATTACCAGCGTTTAGCATAGTCTCTGTTTCATAGTAGCTTCTCCAGAGTTGCTCTTCTTGCTGCCTTTTGGTTTTCTACTGGATGTCACATTTCAAATGAAAGAAGCTGAACCAGTCGGTCTCCTAGCAAACCAGGATCATCCCTGATTGGCTTTTTTTTTTGAGGCTGTTCCTGGAAAGGTTCCATTGTCTTCCAGCGTCACTGAGCACAGCGTGTAGCAGGCACAGGTGAAATTTGTGAACACAGGCTTTTAGCAGACAGACACCGTGGTGGAGCAAAGGGGGACTCTGCTAAATGCTGCAGCGGGGAGGCCGGGGTGTTTTAAAGCTGTTTAATCAGTGGCCTTGGGTTTTCTGTTTCTCCTCCCCCAGGATCTCTTTGAACTGAAGTTACCCCGTTTCTTTACTTCTAGAGCTCAACCAGGATTTGGAATTTGCCTTCCCCAGTGGAGGGACTCAAGAGCCTGGGAGGTCATTTAGGTCTGCAGAGAAATGGCTGGCACAGTGCCCATCAATGAGCTGAGTGGGAGGAAAACAAATCTCCCTCCACTTCCTCTCATGCTCTGATCCCATTTTTCTCTCCTGGCAATAGACGGCTGAACATTCATGGGGTGACTTCAGGACGCCATGTTTTATTGCTCAGACTTCCTCTGGTGACTTGATAATGGTCTGCTGTGAGGGAATTGGTCAGTATCGCCTCTTCTAAAGGGGAAAGGTGACATGGGGCTTCCGCCCGCCTGTGGGAGGACTGGAAAACCTTGGAACGGCTTGTGAAAGAGGGGCTCTCGCTGGCCCCCAGAGGGTGCGTGTTTGCCAAGCCAGGCCTTTATAAGGGCGGGGGGGGGGGGGGGCGGGGGAGGGAAAGAGGGAAATATTGTTTGTTCTCTTGCTGGAATCACTTGCCTTTTCATTCTGTCTCTCCAAGCGGCAGGAGAGAGGATGTGGGTATATACTCGCAAAGGAAAGGAATCTTCTTTGTCCACATCTCCATGGTCTGTTTTCAGGCTGATTGACTGATTTTCCAAAAAAATAGAGGCAGGGGTGGTGAGGGGAAGTAGCAGAGGACACAGAATCTGAAGGTGGCACTGAATGAGGCGTCCTGGGCTTGCGTAAGTCAGGCCACCTGAGAACTCCTCCACCCACTGAGCTCTGGCCGTCTGACCCAAGGGAGAGAAGACAAGGGAAGGTGCTGTGGACACTGTAAAGTGCCCCTCGGTTGTGTGGCTGTCCCAATTGCTACTTTCTGTTGTGTCTGGGAGGAAAACTAGACACACGCCTTGCCTGGGAGCCTCTTGCCTCTGTGTTTTCTCTGGCATCTGTGGCCAGCCTGACAGCATTCCCGGAAGGAAGGAGAATGCACATGTGGACGTTGTGTTACAAAGGTCAAGCAGGAATTTGGCAGCTGTTTCTTGGGCATCTACAGGTGCCAGATGCTGCTGCTAGGAGCTAGTGTACCAGGAAGACGCGGTCCCAGGCCTCGTTCAGCTGGGACCAGAGAGGAGCCAGGTCTCACGCCCACATCAGAGAAACTGCTACAGAAGAGGAGAAGATGGCACCAAACAGGGCAAGTACTTGAGTTTAGAGGGTCAGGAAGGCCACTCTGAGAGGCTTGGTGGCCTTTAAGCTGAGATGCGAGAGGTAAATAGGTGCTAACCAAAGGATGGGGGTAAGAGGTAGAGAGTGTGCCAGAGGCTCCCTCAATGGTAACCAATTACTACAACAAAAGCATTGATGGTTGGTTTTTTTAAAGCTAGGCAATACAGATTATCCAATAATTTAAACTGAATCCATTTAGCACAGTAATTGTATAAGTTCTTGCAATAGTAATGTTTAAAGGCTGCTTCTCCAGCTGCAAACTTTGTGAGAGGCAGGCCTGGGTCTGTTTTATTCAGGGTCCTGGTCCCAGCACCAAGTCCACTCTATGCCTATATAATGGGCGAGTCCAGGTGCCAGGGGTTGTGTGGCCACCCACCACACATTCCCAATTCACCTCCCCGATGGCCTCATGGCAGGGGGAGGGGACTTTGGTCACCCAGCTTCATAGATTTGGAAAGCTTGGCCAGCAGGGCTGGGACTCAAGCTTGGGTCTGATGCCAAGGTCCCTGCCCTTGAGGCTGCCTCCCTCCCACTTTATATCATATTATTGGACATGGTGGGGACCACCACTCTCACTCCCTGAAGGACCTTGAGAACTCATTTTAACCTACGGTTTCAGGAACTTTTTCACCTAATATTGTTTGATGGATCATGGTATAGGCACATCTTGAAAGAGGCTGGAGCGGAGGTGTTGGCCAAGACTAGAGTAGCCCCATGTTGCTTTTCTGATCCACGGTTAGGTTTTATTTTTTAATTCTCTGTTTCCTTTGTTCCAAGGTGAAGGAGGCACCTCACGTGGCTGAGATGGTGTTCAAGGCGCGTAGCTCGACACTGACCTTTCAGGAAAGTGGAGACTCGTGGCAGGAGTGGAAGGAGAAGCGGGCGGCCATGATGGTGGGCATCCTCATTGGCGTGTTTGTGCTGTGCTGGAGCCCCTTCTTCCTCACAGAGCTCATCAGCCCCCTCTGCGCCTGCAGCCTGCCCCCCATCTGGAAAAGCATCTTCCTGTGGCTGGGCTACTCCAATTCTTTCTTCAACCCCCTGATTTACACAGCATTTAACAAGAACTACAGCAACGCCTTCAAGAGCCTCTTCATCAAGCGGAGATGAACACAAAGCTTGGGAAGACTGTGGGTAGAGTTGTGCGGAGGGAACTTGTGTTTCTCCCCCTCACCAGTGATGCGCGAGCCTTCCCCCCACAGCTGAGAATTAATGACATCTGAGAGCCATACCACTGGGCCTGGACTGTAGGTGCAGCAATGCCAAAGGCTCTTCAGAAAGACAGCAAATGTGGGGCAAGCATGCAGATATGTCCTCTTCCTACGTGAGTGGCAGACATTGCTAATCGATCTTGGCACATTTCCCTACTGAGCAGGAAGTCTGCCTCAGAATCCTTTTCAGATAGCACCTCAGGCACCTCTGCTAATTGGTTAGAAGTGACACAAGAGGATCAATGCCTTTCCTTTATCTAATACCATATTCCTCAGAGAGGGTCTCAGCACAGGGCCCAGTGGCCTGTTTTGTGTTCCACCCAGGAGATGGTGTCCTTTGTGAAACAGCCCCCACCCCCCAACCCTTTCTCCACCCATTCAACACATCTCCCCCAGTCTCCAACACAGTGTGTCCTGATTTGGGAAATGAGGATCATCTGAGCTTTTGTTTTTTAAAAAAGTGTCCAGTGCAAACCCTATCTACTGAATCAGACTTTCAAAGAAGACATCTGGTAATTTACACATTATTAAGTTCTCTAGATAATTTTTTCTTTTAATCAGTGAGAGACACTGCTGGATGCTTAGGCTGCTCTTTAGAACAATTAAATTGGCATTTCTTGGGGCTGAGACCCAGACGGCAGGGCTTTTTAAAGTTCCCCAGGTGATTCCACCATGCAGCCAGCCTTGAGATGCCCTGGCGAGGGCTCGTCTGTGCTTCTGTACAAGGGAGAGCAGCTGTGAGAAATTTTCCTAGGACTTTACCATCCTGACTTGTATGTGTGATAAAAATGCTTTTGAAGTATTCATTTCTAGGCTCAGAATCAGTCATCTGTATGACTGATCACACACACATGCATACACACACACACACACGTGTCTATCATTGAGATGGGGACAACGCCTGTTGTGGAACTAAAACACAAACACACACAAAACTCCCCCAAAACTGCCACAGTGAATCTTGGGCTTCCTGACAATATGAAATGTGGCCCGGATGTGTAGGAATCCCGGGGCCTGGATGAGGGGATACCTGGACTGAGTCATCTTGGCCACAGTCTGCCTAATTTTGGACTGGCTGCCTACTGATTCGGCTTTTCATTTCCACAACAGTCCACTCGGCCATTGGCTCCCTTGATGTCTGAGGTGTACAGACATGCTTTGAGCACACACTATAGAGCACCTGCACTTTGGGGGTTATCAGAGAAGATAGGTCCCTGGTGCCTTTTCCAAAATCTTTGGCACCAGATGGTTTTGGGATTTAGAACTCTTTTTTTAAGTTTTAGAAAGGCGATATGGTATATGGTCCATACATTAGATAACATCCCCAGCTGGGTCTGGGGCAGCAGCCTCTAATCAAACACATGGATATTTCTGCAATAAAATGAAGAAAGGACTAAAAATAGCCTCACACTGGGTCAGATCAGATTTTGTCATCAAATGAGTTAGGAACAACCTGTATTTCCTGAACTTTTGTGTTTTTGCAATTGAGGATCTGTGTCACCTCAAACTACCCACAGTCCCAGCTCTCAGTGCTTTCAGCCCTGTTGAGAAGGAGCTGGAGTCTGGGAAGAGCATGTGGTCCAGCTATTCCTTTGCTGCTGGAGGTTGGGACATCACAAACGTGCTTGGTGTGGCCCCAGGACAGCATTCTTGGAGATGTACTTTGGAATTTTATTCTTCTCTATCATTGGAAGATGCTTCAAGAAACAATCTTATGAAACCTATCAATGCGTTTCACATAAAGAAGTCAAGTCATCAGGGGCTGGCCCCCTGGCCGAGGTTAAGTTCATACACTCCACTTCAGTGGCCCAGGTTTCGCCAGTTTGTATCCTGGGTGCGGACACAGCACCGCTCATCAGGCCATGCTGAGGTGGCATCCCACATGCCACAACAAGAAGGACCTACAATTAGAATATACGACTATGTACTGGGGGGCTTTGGGGAGAAGAAGAAGAAAAAAAAGATTGGAAACAGATGTTAGCTCAGGTGCCAATCTTAAAAAAAAAAAGTAAAGTCATCAGATGAAGGGGTGTTTTCTGATGATAATGAGGACTTTTAATTGGCTCTGTTTCCATTTTCACTTTGATCCGGAGGAAGTACAGAACCACTTTTCTGACTTAACTTTGGAATCTATGTAGGAACTGGTCACCTACTTATTTGTTTTTAATGTTTCTAGCCAGTCTGTAATTCCAATTCTTATTTAGGTTTTCCTTATCCTAGTGTTTTATGTTCTATTTATATTTTGCTGTCATATTCTGTGTATTTTCCACAAGCCACCTCAGATCCTCTGTGAATTAAGGCAGGGGAGAAGGGATTAGGAGATGACAACTCCTAGGAGATGACTGACAAGCTGGAGGGGTGGAGGTTCTCTGGTTGTCATTCCTCATGGTTGTGTTTTAAGGGCTAGAGCTCAAGCCTGGGGCTACTGGGCATTTTCCCTCTTGGCTGAAAGACACTAGGTGGTGTTAATGATCTTCCTCCCTGGCCCTCTCTTCATAAAACACACAGCCAGGAATAAATTTTAAGAGTACTAATTATTGAGGACCCATGATGTGCAGCTGTTGTACTAGGTTTTGTATACAAATGCTCATTTAATCCTACAAGATCGGTATTGTCCTCATTTAACCATGTTCCAAGAAGGTAAGCAGCTTGCCTGTGGTCACAGTGAGTACATGCAGAAAAGGTGTCTGGACCCAAGTCTGCCTGGATTCAAACATGGGAAAGGGGAAAACAACAAAAATCCAACAGAAATCTGACTGGACTCATTTCAGTGTTCGCTTGCATTTTGCAGCACGAGAGACCCGCACCTTGCATTGTTCCAGTTGGATTCCAGGCAGGAGCCATAGAGGAAGAGTCTAGGTATGGTTGGGGGTCACCTATGGGATCTTTGGTTACTCTCACTATTGGATGGGATGCCTTGTCATTGTGTTCATCTGGCTTGGGCTTTGACTTAATGTAGGATCCTATGGAAGCATCCCAGGCAGAAGGAATCATTTACGTTGAGTCCTTCCTTTAAAAGGAAGTTGTTTGCTTGCTAATTTGGTGGCAACTCCCATTGGACCTTTTAGACTTGAACGTTTTTCTCAGTTCGTGAGGCCTTCCCTGACCACTCACTATAATTAAAAAATGCTCTATTAGTGAAACAGATCAGTTGATGATTGACTTTATGTAAGGATGCACTTGCAATTCTTTTTAATATGGAGTATCAGAAATAGAAGCTTACTGACAAAATATCTGATTTACAATGAACATTCCAGGAATAAGCATAATGTGTCTGTTCTGCCTCAAATCTCCTTGTCTGTAGAACATGGCTAAGATGGAGCTGGAAGGCTACAAGACGAATTAATCTCTTCCCTGTCGGAATTTATTTGCTGATTAAGGTAGCACTAAAGTGTCCTCATGTCAGAATCCCATTCCACAAAGTTCCAGGCCTGTGGGATGGATGTGGGTAGCCTAATAGTTTTATTTTATAAACTGAGTCATGTATAATGTAAAGCATGCTACGTTTCTCCCATTTAACATGGCCTTCTTGTTTCTTCAGGCATGTCTGAACAGAATTTGGATTCTGATCATGATTGCTGTCCTCTGTGAGCATCTATTCCACATGTGGGTACCGTCCCCAAAAGTCTGCTCTCTGGCCCTGATCTGGTCCCTCCACACTAATGCTGGGTGGTATAGAGGTGTCTTTCAAACTCCAGGTCACAACCTACCATGAAATCACTTTGGTGGTGGTTTGTCAGCTGTGTTCTCAATAACTGTGCACAATTACTACAAAATCTCAGTGGTGTAGACCAACGAGCCTTTGTTTCTTGCTGAGACATCTGTGAGTTGCCTGGGATTGCACTGATCTGGGCTGGGCTCTCCTGGGCTCGGCTTCCCTCTGCAGCTCTGCTCCTGTGTCCCTCATCCTCCTCAGGCCAGCAGGGTTTGTCCTTTTCAAGAGAGATGTATAAGAGGGCAAGCCCAACCACGCAAGCACATTTTCAAACTTTTGCTCATATCAAGTCTGCTAACAAGCCATAGACCAAGCAAGAGCCCAGAGTCAAGGGCTGGGGAAGTACATCCCACCTGCCAGGACGCCATGACAAAGGTGCGTGCTCTGGGGGGATGAAAAATGGAAACCAATAATTCAATGCTCAGCATTTTTACAAAGTACTTAAGCAGAACAGGAAAAAAAATCAGAGTGTAGTATAGAAAGGGTAAACATGGTCTCGTGAAACTTGTTCCACGTCTGTTTTCATCTGGATTATTAGTGGTCTCTTTACTGGGCTCCCTGCTTCTGCCCTCGCCTCCCCTGCAGGCTGCAGTCAGCACGGCCCCAGAGGGATCCCTACTGAAACCTTCCTGAAGCCTTGCAATGGCTTCCCACACAGGTGCCTTCGTGTTCCTGTCACCTGCCGGGCACCCTCCTACCTCAAGGCCTGATACCAGCTACTCCCTCTGGCCGGAATTCTCCCACAGGTATCTCGGGGACCCCCTCCCTCACTACGCATGAGGACTTTTGTCATCGTTTATTTGTTTATATTTATGTAATGCTAAGAACACAGATATCCTAAAGAAGAAACAGTAACAGAGTTTTTTCTGTACAGGATTTTGATTATAAAACACCAGTAATTTAAAGCTCTAAAACAGAAAAGCACATCAATCTAGAAAACTGTAAAACCTAGTTTCTCTCTTACCTGAATTAATCCGAGAACACCTAAACATTCTCTTTGAGATATTAACATTAAAATCATGCAAAGAAACTTTACCCATAGTGTTTAAACCATAAAACCAACACCTGGGTTGTACCTGACAAAGCCTATAAAGTGATGCACAGTGAATACAACTGGAAGAAAGTCAGGGTGACCGAGAGTCAGGGGAAAGAAGGCAGTCAGGGACAGGAGCCATGTGTGGAGCAGGGCGCCCCGCCGTGTCTGCTGCCAGCCCCGATGACCCCAGAGGCTCTGCACGCCGAGCAGCCCCCGGACAGCAGGGATGAAGCCTGAATCTCTAAGAGCCGGCAAACTGACGCTCCAGAAAAATGTCCACAATTAAAACCGAGGTAGTCCTCAGTGAAGAATGTAAACTAAGAGGCCCTAACTATTCATGATAAAACTGCAGCCGTCACCTCCACACCAAGACACTCCGGATCCCTCGTCCTGGTTTCATCAGCAGGTGGAAGCACGTGCCATCTGGTTTCCCTCTTTACCTGGTGTGTTTCCCCACTGAGTGCGGCCGAAGGAGGGCGGGGCCTTTGTCTGCTTTGTTCACTGCTGTGTTCCCAGGGCCTGAGCCGCAGGAGAAGCTCAAATATTTGTTGGTTGAATGAATGAATGAATAGGGATTTATTTTTCTCGTGGAACAAGAAATACAGAGGCCAGTGGTCCCCACTTTGGTTCAGATGCCCGTCATGCCTTCAGGGAGCCAGGCTCTTTCCGTCTTTTCACTCTGCCAAGCTCAGTGTGTTGGGAGGTTTCCTCACAGTCTCAAAATGGCTAAGGCTGCTCCCACCATGTCGTTCTTTCTTCCCCAACAACTTGCAAAAACAGCAGCTCTCCTCACGCATCTTGAGCTGATCAGCAGCAGGAAAGTCTCCTCTCTTCTGGCCCGAGCTGAGTTAAACACACGTGTGTAAACCAATTCATGGCAAGCAGAAACGGATTCCTGTGACTGTTTTAGAACAGCTGTCATGAGTCCTCACCTGGGCCGGACACCTTCCACCCCAGAGGGGGATAAAATCAGAGCTCTGCTGGTAAGGAAAGAGGGCTGGGGACAGGATCGCCCGCGGTAGATTTCCACGCAGGACAGGCACGGCTCCTGGAGAGTGCTAAGAGCGCCCCTCGGACCATGGTGCAGGGGACCATCTCCATCTTTTTCACCCCAAAAGCCAGAGGAACAGGGGTTGTGCTGTGATTCTCCAAGATGGAGGCCACCCTGCCACAGCCCTCGTCTGTTCCCAGGGCGCAGCCACTGCACAGTCCGTCTCCCCATCCCCCCACCTCCCTTCCACGCCCACACGCTCACACGTCAGAGCAGAACCATCCTCACTGCTTGTCTCCCAAAGGTCTTCTGTGGAAGAGGACAGCCCCTCCACTTCCCTGTCTCCCTCAAGACCCAAGAAAAGGAGAGTTAACTACTTTTGGTTCAAAGGCTTTAAATTCCTAAGGAAAGCAGATTTACTGAATAAGAATCTTCTCTCTTATTTCTCTTTTTTAGAAAAGCAAACCAAATGAAAATTTAAAAACTTTATTTTTTGAATAGATAATACCGGTACATGGTACAAAATGCAAAAGGTACAAAAGGTATACGGTGAAAAGTAATTCCCACCCCATTTCCCAGAGGCAACCAAGGCCGCCAGGTGCCTTGTATCCTCCTAGTCTAGGCATATGCGAGCAGATATGTTTAGATGTCCGTGTGTGTGTATACGGACAGACACACACATACATATACACACCCACAGACACACGTTTTTCCCCATCCCCTTCCTCTTTTTAAAGACAAACACTAGGACAAGATGAGCCTCTTTCTCCCACTTAACCATGCATCCTGGGGGTCATTCCATGGCAGTGCTTACACAGTGGCTCTATTCTCTTAAATTTCTCTTAATATTCCATTGTACAGATTCACCAGAATATATTTAACCACTGCCCCACGCTGGTGTAGATTCCAGCGTTTTTTTGTCTTTTTCTTTTTGCTATTGCAAACAATGCTGCAGTGAAAATCCTGTACATGGAAAAATTCCCAGAAGTAGCACTGCTGGCTCGAAAGGTGTGTGCGTTTGCACCTTTAAAAGGTCGTCGGTCACCCTCCATGAGGCAGGACCGTA